AGCCGATAGAGCAGTTTTTCTCAATGAACTACTAGGCTGCTGTTTTTTTAAACTGTTTGCGATTTTTAATACAACGTCTCTGCGGAACGATGCGGGTTGACGACGTCGTCGTTGTCCACTCTTTTTCAAACCCATTCCGAGATTACGTTTCGCCTTCATAGCCGTAGTTACGAACCAAGCGGCTGCTTTTTCTCCTAGTTTTGCGTCTTTAGATTTAACGCGTTCCCAAGCTCTATTCTCCAACACCCAATCGGCTTTATGTCTATCTTCTACAGACTTATTTCGAGCGTATGCTATATCGTGGTCACGGCAAGCGGAATCCAAAGGATTTATGCCCTTTTGACCTTTGGCTAAGCGTTTCTCAAGTTTTGTTCCTAATGAAGAGAAAAAACGTAGTTAAATTTATTATTAATATTATTTACTCTAGTTACCTGGTCCGCAGAATTGATATCCACCTGGAATATGTAATTCAAATGGTAGTTTATCTATTAGCGAATTTAACACACCTTCACCGTATCGCAGCGGCATTAGAAATGATGTAAGCCGATAGAGACACTTGTATTTATAGGAAGTAGCTTGACGGACGACTTCAAACCATGAAGGTAGTTCAACAAGAGCGGACGCTACCAATAGAAAACTTGGATTTTGATGAAAATCCTGCTATTGTAGGCAGACATGGTTCGTTGCTGCCGAATTCGTTTAGATGTGTCGTATGTGGTCCCAGTGGTTGCGGGAAGACCAACGTAATATTATCGCTTCTATTTCATCCGAATGGTGCCAAATTTGAAAACGTCTACGTCTACTCAAAGTCCCTATACCAGCCTAAATATCAGCTGTTGCGAGACGTCTTGAGTAAAGTGAAAGAAATTGGGTACTTTCCATATGGGGCTAGTGACGAAATAATTAGTCCAACAGACGCTCGGTACAATTCCATATTCATATTCGACGATGTGGCGTGCGATAAACAGGAAAAGATACGTGAATACTACTCCATGTGTAGACACAAGAATATCGACGCGGCCTACCTATGTCAGACATATTCCAAGATACCGAAACAACTTATTCGAGATAATTGCAACTTAATAGTTCTTTTCAAGCAAGATGAAGTAAATCTGAAACATGTCTACGAGGAACACGTGTCCCCCGACATGACTTTCGATCAATTTAAGAAATGCTGCTCAGAATGTTGGGTTGATAAATACGGAACCATGGTTATTGTGAAGGATTTCAACCTACAAGATGGTCGATATCGTAAAGGATTCGATAAATATATAAGGATGTAACTAACGAACGCTATCATTAATCGCAATGAATCCAACGGTTGAAGACGTCATCACCAAGACGGCGCGAAAGAAAAAAATCAACGAGCTCGCAAAATCAATCAAGCGAAAGTACTTGGCTTTAAAGCTAGGTAAAACGGAGGAAGATGAGGCGCTGCAAAAACTCTTTAAACCAATTTCTACACCGTTAAAAGAAATAGCCAGCACATCACACAAGTTGAACGAAAAAATTGTTAAGTTCCCCATCATTAAGAAAGAGGAGAAAAAAGAAAAGGTAGAAGAAGAAGAAAAACCGTCTACATTCAACCAAACAGCCTTTTTACCGTTGGAAGACATAGCATCGTCATCTAGACTTAATGATGATGATGATAACGATGATAGAACATTTGAAGAGGAGCAAGAAACTCGATTGGAAGATTTAACTCAAGAAGCTCTAGAAGAATATTTAGATCAATATCCTGTCATATCTCAAAAGTACGTTACAGAGCATTGGGCTAATAGCGATGTAATTAATAAGAATTATGGACCAGTGTACGATTCCTCAAAGTCATCGTGGGTACTCGGTCGAAAACGGATCGATTTTGACATTCGTACCGGTAATATAGTAATCGATGGTCAGCAATTTAAAGGAACACCGGGGTTGTATCAGTTGATTTTCTTTATGACCCGTCATTCAATCAAGAGGATAAACAATCTTATACAAATATTCTTCAAATGACTGGCGCTCACAAAGACGCAGTAGGACGCTTAAAAGGTTCCAATTCGTTAAAGTATAGAGAAATTATTAGATCGCTATTTATTAAGACGACACAACGTAAAACTACTGGTAAAGGCTTATTGTCTCACACCAATAAGTTAACTTACAATACAAAGCCGATGGAATATATTTACTGGGATGATCCCAACGAACTTGTCGATCGTTTAAGGCCGCTGGTAGCATCTAAAAACACTGGAAATACGTCACATGACAACGAAATTTCAGCAAGTATTGAGGAGTTAAAGGAGGGTAGAATAATATCTTAAGTCACGCGAAACTGGATAACCGTCACGCGAAATTGGATAACCGTCACGCGAAACTGGATAACCGTCACGCAAAACTGAATAACCGTCACGCGAAACTGGATAACTGTCACGCGAAACTGGATAACCGTCACGCGAAAAAGGATAACCGTCACGTTTTATGTCACGTCGTCACGTTTTACGTCACGCATATCCTCCTTAGATCAAATACTATAAAGTTGTTTACCAAACGATTTTTCATCATTCTACACGATGAGTCTCGATAAATTCGGACGTAGCTCTCATCGTCATCGCGATTTCAACGAGCGACACACACCTCATGCAATTGGATTTTCGTTTTCTCCCGATGGAAATATTGACCTTCGTAACTTGAGAATATGTAATGTGAGTTCGCCTCTTGAAGATAATGACGTAGTTAATAAAAAAACATTATATCAGAAATCGTTAATGATGAGATATTAAAACTACACAAAGAAATAATTAAAGTATTTGACAATAAATTAAATTTGTTAAGTAATTCTTTAAAAAATGAAGTTGACGACTTGGAGAAAAAAATTGTACACACTGTTGCTGTTAAATTACAAAAAGATGTTACAAAATTGCAAAATGACATTCAAGCGGAACTTGGTAAACATAAAGAATACATTATGAAGAAATTTAAAGACATCGAGAAGAAGTATAGTGCTCTGGAAGAACGTATGCATATAGTAGAGAATCAGATGATCAGATGACCCTTTCATATGGAAAACTTATTGTCGCATAATATCATGGATCCTCTTTAAATAACCCATAAATAACGCAGACTATCTTAGTGCTAATCGATTAGTAGAGACATGAAGACGTATTCAAAGGAAAATATTCAACTTGTTAATGAATTATATAAGCCTATGAGAAAAAACTATGCTCGCAGACATACGATTATCAAGGGACTTGATGACCTCTGGCAAATGGACTTGGCTGATATGCGTCAGTACGCCCACTATAACAAAAATTTTAAAATGATTATGGTCGTCATAGACTCTTTCTCAAAGTTCCTGTGGACTAGACCTTTAAAAACAAAGACTGGTGAAGAGATAACCACGACCTTTGCTGACATCTTAGCCCACAGCAAAGGTAGAATCTGTATAAATCTACAAACGGATCAGGGTACGGAATTCTTCAACCAAAAATTCCAGCACTTCCTCAAGAAGCATCATATTAATCATTACAATACGTACACGTGAAAAAGCCACCATTGCCGAACGTGTGATAAGAACTTTGAAATCAAAGCTGTACAATTACTTTAGCCTAAACGGTACCTATAAATGGATAGATGTATTACCAGAAATTACGAAATCCTACAACGAAACCCAACATCGCACCACGAGATACAAGCTGTCTCAAGTAAATATAAGTCCAACGAAGAGAGAATTTTAAAGTCTGCATACAATCATATTAAGATAAGCGGACCGCAAAAATTCAAAGTGGGTGACGCTGTGCGCATCAGCAAAAATAAGCACGTCTTTGATAAGGGTTACACGCCTAATTGGACGACCGAACTATTTAAAATTACGTCGGTTAAAATAACGAATCCAGCGACATACCTCTTGGAAGATATGTAGAGAAATCCTATAAGAGGTGCTTTCTATACTGAGGAGCTACAGAAAATTGTCAGTCCCGACATCTATCTCGTAGAAAAGGTACTAAGGAGAAAAGGAGGGAAAGTTTTCGTGAAGTGGTTGGGGCTTGATAAGAAACATAACAGCTAGATCGAGAACACCAACGTCATTTAGTTTGAGCTAGTTCGTCGAGCGAGCAGGTTGTATGCAAAATGAGTGAAGTTTCCGCTAATTTAAGTGATGAAGAAAATTACGATTATAGTAAGCCTCTCGATGATATTCTGGCTAAATATGAAGAAGACGCACGGTGGAAGCAGATATACTTGCTTAATAATGTTTTTCCACTAATATCAAATGTCAACATTCAAATACAGTGTGGATTAAGTCCAGCTATATCCTTCAGTCCTGCAATAGTTATAAGGAATGGTAATGGCAATAAATTATCATTTTCTACCTACGAATGGCAAACTCTCTTGGAGTTACTGGTACGTTTGAAAAAAGATTCCTTCCAAACACCCCTGCAAGGCTGGCCTGATGAGTATAAACCTGTGACTCATCGTTGTGGAGATTACACGACAGTCTCCCAAGTAGTCTACGAAAATATGAAAATGGTGCAGATCATAAAATACAACATGTGCATCGATCTTTTCCTTCAAGATGTTGAAGAACTGTTAAAACTGGATACTTGTGTGCTGTCGCATAGAATAAATATGTTAGATTCTTTAGACTTTTGTCATTACTATCATAATGTATTAGATCTTGTAACTGGTTGGATAAAAGCAAATCAAATTACTTTAAATATAAATGAAATTATAAGTTCTTTTTGTGATGTATCTAATGATAGTATATTAAGTAATGCTTTTCGTGAATATCTTTACTTTTGTTAAACTAATGTACTGTCTGATATAAGTAATTAATATATATGCTAATTAACATATATTCGATTTTATTTTTCCTCTATTCCAGTTTCAATAATATAATAGAAATTTAACTTTAGTAAAATTACACAAGTATACTCTTGTTCACAGTTAAAACAAATAAGACTCATATATAAAATAAAAAGTTTATTTCATTTATAATGTATTAAATATATTACAGTTAATTACAACATACTGTCTATTGAATAGTGCCCCCAAGGTAATGTGTCATGGGTATCGTTTAATAAAAAACGTTTATCATCAGCTGCACTTAGAGCTAGTTTTGTTTGCTCTACTGAGAAAACGTTATGTAAAGTTGACTGAATGGTTCTCTGTTTGCGATAGAGTTCAGTTTTATTATCTAAACAGTTTTTGTAGTCGTCAAATGTGATGGAATTTTTAACTATATTCTTTTTAACTCCTTTAGATTTTTTAATAGTAGATTTGCCGTCTATTAAGATGCTGTACATTTTAGAACGGAGCCCAACAAAATGCGTCATTATTGCCCCACAGCATTCATCCTTCATTAAGCCTGGTACTTTTTTATTAACTAAAGGTATATTATATTTATTATTAGGCTCATAATCTGAAGTATCAAATTTGTGTAAATTTTGAATTAAAAGATCGTAAACGTTATCGCAGGTTACTTGATATATGAGACTGTCGGTGTCTGTATAAAGCAATTTGCACTCATCACCTAATTTTGATAACATGAAATTGTAGTGGAAGTCGTACACACAAGTTTTTGAAATGTCCAAAATACACATGCCAACATATAGGGGCTTGTTGAAGCAAATTTCCGATTTGTTTAATTCAATTGCTACTAGGTCTTCACCAAAAATTTTGCTACTATGGAAATTTGGGCTAGCTATAAAATGTTTTGCACCCCACTGCCCATCCCAATGATTCTTTAACTTGATAATGCGATGCTTTCTTATGTTCTCCATCGTCTTACCGAAAATAGCGTTTATTAATAGTTTATATAAATTTTTTTCAAACTCGTTGGTAGACTGGGCGCGGAGTTTGGTGTTTAACTCGATGTAGGCCTTCAACCAGTCGGCTTGCTTAAATTTCAATACGCGATGAATTTTGATGAGCTTAACCCCAAGAGATAAAGCCTGCTTTAAATTACGATAATGAATTATATAGCGTGATTTTGGATACAAGGTTGTCATAAGTTTCGGTAATTTTGAATTTGGAGGTGTGAGGTGTTCGGGGCATAGAGGTAAATCTTTATGCTCATCGTGTAGATGTTCAGGATATTCCAAGTCAACTTCGAGGATGTATCCTTCAGACGACGTGTCAGATACCATCGTTACGTCGATGTTGGGATCTACCCACTCGAACCCACCATATGGAAGGTATTGGCTCATAGCCCAACCGTAAAGGTTATTTACATCAAAGTACATTAAATACTTTGATGGCTTTGAGTAGTCATAAGAAGACATAAACTTGTTGTTTGCTTCAGCATAGCGGTTACAGCATTGACTAACGCCGCCTCTGATGCCGCGATCCATAAACAGCAACATATCCACGTCTTTTAAATAATCCAGCTCGATTTTAGTATATTTTAACATACAGTCCCACGTATATCCGGGGAGTGTATAGTAATTAGCTGGGTCCAGTTGATAAATATTCAAACATTTTTGTCTAAAATGTTCAAAGACATCTGCCAAAAGTAAAATGTCCGTTTTCATATATAAATCAGAATATTGTCCTAAAGTTGATATATTAAATTTAGCCCAGACCCTCTTAGCAAGTTCATAATCGTCATTAGATATGTTACTATCGTTTATTTTATTATAAAACTTATCAATGCCGGGTAGTTCTGTTTCGTTTAATTTCTCCTCACAGTCTATATAGTCATAAGGAAATACTCCTTTTCTCGAAAGTAAAGTAAATGTTTCCGCATCTAACATGTTAAATATTTTACATAAATTTTGAAGCTCGTTTGGTTTTAAATATGATGATAGAGTATCTAGTGATGATGCCATAGATCTAAAGGAGTCGATAAAACGAAACTTTACCGGGGAATCTGATGTTGACTTTGTAAAAGAAATGTATTTTTCTTTATTGATGGGAAGCAAAGTAATATTGCCGGTTTTTGCCAAGTCTCTAATCAAAAAATGTGAATCATATCCGGTCAGATTATGAAATACTATAGGTATGGTGAAAGAATTTTTATAATTTAGATTACAGCTTTCATGTGCAGGCCCCCGGTAGGTTCCAGTAAAATGACAGTGGTCTCGAACCTTTTTGGTGCCTGCTTCAAATGGCTTCTCACAAATGTGACAGTGTGTTGCAGAAAGAAACTGTAGTGACTGTTCCTGTGTAATATTCATGGGTACAACAGTTTTCAATTTATCATCAATAACTTTTGCCATGTTTTCAAGTTGCTCAGTAAATCATTCAATGCAGCCGAGGCCCCTATTGCTAGCGTAAAATGATAGAGAATCATCGTACGAACACTTGAAATAAAAACCTGCACTAATCGCGGTATGCTTTTGATATATTTTGGACCACGTATGCCGTTGCTGATCGGTGAAAGGTTCTAACATGGACTCAAAATCACAATATAAAATGAAAGGTACCTTTTCCTTGTATCTGTGGTTTTTAAAAGATAGAGATTTCTCCTCCGGAAAGGTAATTTTACATTTATTAATTTTAGAGCAATCTTCAGTGTGACTAATAATTTAGGCAAACATCGCAAATGTATTTAGCATTCTTGTGTTTATTTAATTGAGAAGAAACTAGCCGCGATAAATTTTTAATCAAACAAAAATGATACTTAATTTCTACGTCTTCGCTGCTACTTTCCTCCGTACGTTCATCGAAATAAACATTTTGTATAATTAAAAGATTAACGTGTCTTTCGAGTTTATTGTTGGTTAAACGAGCAGGTTCAACATTATATTTATTTTTAACACATAATTTTAATTGATAAACATTAACAGAGATGTTGTTTTTTTCAAATTTTGAAATTATCGAAATTTGCATTGGAAAATCGATACCGTTCAAATTTAATACCTGCGAATAGTGCGGGTATGATGATGTTCTATCTGGGTGTTTCAGTCTATCAACTGGATAAAGTGCCGAAACAATAGACCAAGCGAAGCAGGCGTCATCACCATAATTTTTAACATTAACACAAGCATGTTTCTTTACAATTACCTCGGGGAGTTTGATAAAAGACGAGACCCCGTGTCCCATTTCAAATTTGTTAAAGTTTATTTCTAAACTAATAATTTTGTTTAAGGCCCAACCACTATCTTTTTCCTGGAACTCTTTCAATTTTCAAATAAAAATATTGCAACTAATGTAAAACGCTTTCTATTAGAAACATGACACACCAAATATAAAATATTGGGAGGCACTTACAGTTTTTTAATTCTTCTATGCAGGTCCTGGTTGTTGATGTTGTGGCAGCTCCACAACCTCAAAGTTTATAGCCGGATGCGGCTGATTGCACTGTACTAGACCCCTAAACACTAATCCGTACTTCCTAGGCACAAAGTGTTCCAAATTTGCCTCGATTGCCGGCAAAGACCTCCTTGGTAAAAACACTGCGTTCTCGCCCAAGTCAACAAGAACCGTTTTCCCAAACCGGGTGATAACTATTTGCATCCCACAAATCGGTATGGGCTGGTCCACAGGAAGATCCCGTAGATTAATTACTGGATTCCTGCGGATGGATGAAACCTCATTAATTTGACTTAGATTCATACTAAAACAATAGAAAAATCAAGTGTAGAAGAGCGAAAAAAATAATAAATAAATAAATAAAGGATGTCTTTAGTAAATAATTGACTATTTCAAAAACAAATAACTTACTTGTATTTTGTAAAGGGACACTAGAGATAATAACTTGAACAAGCTGTTGTAGACGTTGTAAGGACACACACGCACAAAAGCTACTGAAGAACTTGCTGGAGACTAATGAAAGTGTAGTTGCTTCTGCAAGCTATCGATGTAGACTGGTAAATGATAATTTTATTTCACTGTGTATATATATCATCAGTTTCACCGTGACTCTTATTACATCTGGCCAACGTTCGTTATTCTTATCGCATGCTGTCTAGACGCTACGTGTCCACAATTTTTGCCAACACTACAATTATAAAGGAAATAATATATCGGGTTACAGTTTATACTAAAAAGCAAGTCTGAACCTGTAGAAAACAGGTCTGAACCAGTAGAGAACAAGTCTTAAATTGAGGTGACCTTGACCCTAGATGACCTTGACCTCAGACGACCAGAGATTGATGACCTTGACATCACTTTGACGTGACATTGACCCCAGATGACCAGGGGTCGATGACCTTGACGTGACCTTGAGGTGGCCTTGACCCCAGACAACCAGCGGTCGATGACCTTGACGTGACCTTGTCTTCAGACGACCAGAGGTCGATGACCTTGACGTGGCCTTGGCCCTAGGCGACCGGCGGCCGATGACCTTGACGTGACCTTGGCCCCAGACGGCCAGATGGTGATGACCTTGGCATGGCCTTGACGTGACCTTGACCCCAGACGACCGGAGGTCGATGACCTTGACGTGACCTGGATCCAGACGACCACAGGTCGATGACCTTGACGTGACTGGTCTAGAATGATGCAATACCGGATAAGAATGACGCAATGCTGTTTGGAGGTCATTGGCCTCGAATGATGCAATACCAGATAAGAATGACGCAATGCTGATTGGAGGTCATTGACCTCGAATGATGCAATACCAGATAAGAATGACGCAATGCTGTTAAAGGAAATAATATATCAGGTTAAAGTTTATGCTAGCGTGGCAGTATTGTAGGAAATAATATATCGGGTTACAGTTTATGCTAAAAAACAGGTCTGAACTTGTAGAAACTTGATCTCGAATGCTGCAAATACCAAATAAGAATGACGCAATGCTGTTTGGAGGTCATTGACCTCCCCTTATTGTGATTGAATTTTTTTAATTTACCACCAACTGGCCATGTGACGTCACTTCCATGCCGCCATGACACTTCATGTATGACGATACTTCCATGCCGCCATGATACTTCTTGTATGACGTCACTTCAATCCCGCCATGACACTTCTTGCATGCCAACACCCACACATCTCTTGCACAACGACAATGCCCACAAGAAGCCGCTGAAGGAGCGATGGACACTGGCCATCGAGTTCGTGACGTCATTTAGTGTGGCGCAAAAAAAGTGGCGCAGATCCCGCCTATTATATCTACTCCCCTTCTACAAAGTTTTGTATGTTTTTATAAATGCCCGGGCTGTATTAAGCGTGGCAGCCACCCTTATGTATAAAAGATGCTTATAAAAATTATTTGTTGATGTCTGTTAAATATTTATAGGTGAATAGCTTAAATTATCTCTTCCAACAAAGTCCTGTAGGTTTTTGTATATGCCCGGACCATATTAAGGGTGGCAGCCACCCTTATGTATAAAAAATGCTTTTAAAAATTATTTGTTGATGTCTGTTAAATTTTTATTCGTTAATAGCTTAAATTATCCCCTTCTAAGTTCTGTATGTTTTTATAAATGCCCGGGCCGTATTAAGGGTGGCAGCCACCCTTATGTATAAAGAATGCCTATAAAATTAAAGGCATTAAGCTTAAATTATCCCCTTGAACAATTCCAAATATTTCGAATTTTCAAAACCAAGAACGGCGGTGACAACCTTTTTAACATTAAGGCAATGTTTTGCATTGTATTAGCTATGTCCTGTACAAATTTAGTTTCGTGCAACTCTCTCGGTTTCAAAAATACAATACCCATGTATGTTTTCAGCCACTAAACTTGAATAATTCCAAATATTTCACTACCAAGAACGACGGTGACAACATTTTTAACATTAAGGCGATGTTTCGCATTGTATTAGCTATGTCCTATGCAAATTTAAACTCTCTCGGCTTCAAAAATACAAGATCTATGTATGTTTTTTATACATAATACAACCCGGGCATATACAAAAACATACAGGACTTTGTTGGAAGAGATAATTTAAGCGATACACGTATAAAAATTTAACAGACATCAACAAATAATTTTTATAAGCATTTTTTATACATAAGGGTGGTTGCCACCCTTAATACGGCCCGAGCATTTATAAAAACATACAGGACTTTGTAGAAGGGGATAATTTAAGCTATTCACGAAGAGAAATTTAACAGACATCATGAAATAATATATAAATTTACAATATTCACGTAAGGGCGGCATCCACACTTAGGTATGAGAACTGGAAATATATACCCCGTATATTAATCCGATTTTCGAGTAATTTGAATCTATAAATGTTGAAAATTTTAACAGGCATTACCACATGAATGAAAATCATAATCTGAAAAACCCTTGCTGGAAAACCGTTGCTGTATTCACACCCGTGTTTATAAAGCAAAATATCATTAATTTTCTATGTAGAATCACGCCCTTAAGAATTCGCATATTATTAAGAAACACTCTGTATAATGTTTTTATAGTTGTAGTATTATCTAATGCGTATCAATAGTAATAGATACTGCGCAGTATAACTTAAAAATGTGATATTTATTTATATTTTAAAGTTGATACCTACGTAAACATATTTTATTGATAATTATCATTAAACTAATATAAAAATTGTTGTAAATCGGAGAGGTGTTGAGAAGAAAGGTATTTTTGAGCTAGGGTACTGCTTTTTCTTCTAGATGACGATAATTGTTTTTTAAACAAACCATAGGTAGAAAAGGATCCCTGTACTAATAGCTTGGCATACAAGTAGAAGTTGGCTCGACAAGAAGGCAGGGTTGCCAGCGGCTGTCGTTTTGGAATAGGATTTCGCAATACTATATTGGCAGGTTTTAAACTCTAGGTCTATCGTTAGCTTTTGGACTAGTAAGGGGGATGAAGCGTGCCGGGAACGAAAATCCATTGGCGTGTCATCGTAAAAGGCAACAAGATATAGAAAATATTGAAAAAAGATAATAAAACATAACATCTAATATCTTTTTATGGTTTGCTATAACCAGCACTTTGATCGGTTTTAATTATTACATCATTTTAAAACGTCCCAGTTGTGTTTTTTAATTTATAATTTTATTATAGCCATGGAATTAAATCCCTCGTCTACGCTTATGCTACGACGTTTCTCAGGACGGGTAAATCAAGTCCCACTAAAAAAGAATTTCCCTATTTCCTACCAAGTGCAAAAGACAGAGATAGAATATAGATCGATGTTCAGTGTAACTCAGTCTATAGATAGACGATTATAGATTCTGTCGATGTGCGTAGCGAGCGGCACAAAGATAAATAATATTGAACCGTATAAAAATCATTCTATATTTTATACGCATTATGGTAATAGTGTTTTTATATTATGTCTAAGTCACTCTCTATAATTTCGACCGCGGAATATAGTTTTGTATTGAAGCTTTCACACTTACCGGGTGCGTGCCGGGATCATTGAAAAGAACACGTGTCAATTATTTTTTTAAATATTTGTACGCAACTATGTCGAATGTTTGTTCGCTGGAAGTAGATATTGCATTCTTTATATCACTGGTTGAAACCAAACCTGTCCAGTGGGACAAAACTTTAGCTTTTTTTATATTTTTTGGATATTTTTTGTTTTTTTTTTTATTGCGAAGACGTCGGTAACAGCCAAGCCACATAATTGCAACGCGTCTACGATACGGCAAGTATGAAACGAGGCTTAGGGTATAAACATAGTGCCGCGACGAGGCTTCAGATTCAGTTAAATACATTGAATAGCATTGGCCTGTCCATAGTGGCGCGACGAGTCACACATCCTCTCTTCTCAAGGCCTCGAGGAGACAAATCTGCCTTCCTATTATTTCACGAGCATTGTATTGATACAATATTAATATCTTTTATTTAAAGAAATACCTACCTACTACTTGGAACCCTATTACCCTAATCATTGTAATGAATGTGCTCTGGATAAGTTATGAGAATAGGTAGGTAACTTTTGAATTTCAATGATTAGATACCTATAAAGTTTCACTTATATTTAAAAGAAATATTTATTCTTTGTACTTTTTATTTGTGAGCGGATGGCAATATGTAGAGTTTAGTATAATAGAGCGATGCAAGTTTTGTAACAAAAGCCGAGACATGTAGTAATTTATTTATTAGTTCACGGAACGGATGGGCCAAAAAGTAAAATATTTCAGTCAACACAAATTATCGAAAGTTGAGGTTTTTCAAGTAGGTAGAGTAGAAATTTACCAATATTTTTAACAAGTTCGCTTAGAGTGGGGGCCATGTGATAGTCATCTGGTGCGTCTGGAAGGCGCCAGCGTAGAAACCATATTTTTAATAACGCGCGAAACTACGAGAAGAGCGTAGAGGTTCCAAAGTAGAATTAAATTAAATTGTGAAATAGATAACACAGCCCCACAAAAAAAAAGTATCGGATCTGGTATTCAGACCCATGTATTTCCATATACTTTTTTCCGCTGAATCCGAATTTGCCTTCAAATTTGGCCCAACGGGTCTGAGTTTTCGGGAAAATTCAAAAAACAGGTCAAAATTCACAAAAAACGTCATTTACGATCGACGAAAGTTATAAAGAGTCAAATTATTCTACCAGCTCACTAGACGTATGATTTTTCACTTGTTTAGTTCCAATTTATCATCATAGAGTCAGACAAGCTGGTCCAATTTCATTCAAATAGAGAAAATAGATCAAAATGCCATTTTCATGGCATAATTCGTGTTGCAGAGTTCT